GGCATCAAGAGCAGAGTGAAAAGTCCACCTAGGCAACGGAGAAGATATTTGCAAAGCAAGTATCTCATAAGGGATTAACATCCAAAATACATAAAGAACTCCTACAACACTGCCGTGCTCCAGTTTGTCCCCAGCATTCAATGGCTGTGTCTCCTGCCACAGCAAGGGGTGCTCTGCTGATACACAAGACCTGGCCTTGTGTGGTCACAGTCCTGGTGGCTGTCCTTGCCTCTCTGCTGCACTCACGGCTGCTTCCCAAGGACCCAGAACCCTTGCTGTCAGTGTGTTACCCTTACGGTTGATACACTGATCAACTTGAGTCTGGAAGCTTACATAAGTAACTCAGCAGTTCTACATGGACATCCCCTTACCACTGCAGAATGTTGCTGTGTCATCTTGAAACGTGTACAAGTTCAACTAAGTGATGCAGCAGAGAGCCAGGGTCCTTACTTTGGGGACATCCTCAGCTTGTGGAGGAGGGCACGGAGATGTGGGTGTGGGTGGGTAGCTGGCAAAAATATAAGTGAGGAAAAGAGGCTTGTTCCTCCCTTTTGCTCTTGCTTTTACTTTTGCTGTCTTCTGCCACCTTGGACTGTTGCCCCTCTGCCATGCCACCCTGCCTCGGAGCCAGATGGGCATGGACCGAAATCTCCACAAACTGAGCTAAATAAACCTTTCCTTCCTTAATTCTGGGCGTCGAGTATTTTGTCTCAGCAACCAGAGAAAAAGTAACCAAGACAGACCCAAATCTTGACCCTAACCCACCTCCCAGCCATCTGCCAGAGGGTCCACCCTCCAGAGGCAGCCAGGGATCTTTTGTAAATAAGGAGGGAAAGAGGGTTTGAAGGGAGTAGATGGGAATGGGGAAAAAAGAAGTGAGACTTATTATGCACAGATACAAATTTCCTATGATGAATGTGATCATTATGTGTATCTAAAATGTACCAATACAATTACTTTTTAAAAAAATTATAGTGTCCTTGATATGCAATACAAAACTTATTGGATTGAAAAATCAGCATCTGGTTCTCTTACAAGTGATCTGATCCTCATTTTTATTTTTATTTTTTTCTCACAGAAAATAAAAACACCAGCAAAGATGAGTTCTCCAATTTTATTGAGGATAGAGCCTGGCAAAGTCAAGGCCTCAGGGATGAGGTAATGGGTTTCCCTGTGGTCAGTCATTCACTTTTGAATGCATCCCTACTCAGAGCTCTAGGAGGGCTCCTTAGTTCTAGCCTTGACCCATTTCAATGCCAGCCTGACCTTCCCTGGTGCACCTGGTCCAATAGGCCCACTGGAGTTACACTGGGGACACAGATCCAAGATGGCCCTAGGGCTCTGGACAGAGCTTGAGACCAGAGGTCACCCTTAAACCTCCCTGAAGGTTGGGATCTGGTTCAGTAAGATCCAGGAAACCATAAATGTAAGGCTGCAGCAGATCTTTTAAAAACCACGCAACTGCTCATGGTGATTTGGTAAGCAAATGACTTTTGGCTTATGTAGTTATGTCAAGCACCAGCCAGATATAGCTGCCTGGGAGCCCGAGATATGAACATCTCAAAGTAGAGGCCAGTTTGGACAACTCAGTGAGACCCTATCTCAAAATTTAAAAAGGGCTAGAGATGGAGCTCAGTGGTAGAACATCCAGGGATTCAGGTTCTAGTAGTTCAAAAAATGAAGAAATAAAGAAACCTTAAAAATGCTGGAGCCATTTAGCAGGTAGAGTGGGATGGGGGTGGTGGTGAAGGGATCTAAGCACCAGTCCACTGGACATCCCGGCTTCCTCCCAGATGGTCAGCTTGCTTCTCTACTGGGGAAACTGCAGCTCAGGTAAAGCAGTCCGGTCAGGCAGGTGCCTTGGCCCGATGGGCTCTGGTCTTTTTTCTTGTTTGTAGAGGCCTTGACCTCCATCCACATAAATAACACCTCACCGAAGCTGGGAAGGAGAGGACTTCAGACCACAAGTGCTGACTGCCATCTGCACACACAAGGTGCTCAGGACTCAGACGGGCAGGACTCCAAGGGCATCAGTGGCCAGCGAGGGAAACGCAGAGGGAAGGGCCGCACGGGGCTCCCTTGTGGGGACTGGGCCTGCGTCTGCGCTCCAGGCAGCAGTGGCCCTGGCAGGCGTGGCTGTTCCTTGATGTGGGGTGAGGAGGCAGCTGGCTCAGCCTGGGCCCCTGGGCAGGACAGAAAGGGCTTTCTAGAAGCAGAGGGGCCAGAGCCACTATTCCAGGGGAAATCAGCCCCACCCACAGGGAGACTGGGATGGCAGCCTTCCAGGGAGGCGCATCTGCCGGGAGAGGGCCCGGAATCAGGCTGAGGCTTCACGGGAAGGGACCGCAAGGCAATGGCAGAGAAGGCCGCAGGGACAGGAGATGGGGACCAGCAGGAGGCTGGGTCCAGTCAGGCTCAGGCTGGAGGCCTGGGGAGCAGAGGGAAGGAAGGGGTCCCAGAGAGGACAGCGGCAGCCAACGGACAGACATGGCCAGGAACAGGGAAGACGCCTGGCTGAGACCCGGGACAGAGAAGGGCCCTGAGTGGATGCCAGTCTGCACCCGAGGTGTCGGCCAAAAGGGGAGGGGCCAGAAAGGGTTTTACTGAAGCCCACCTGGACCGGAGGGAGCGGGCCGAGGCAGGAAGGGGCGACAGCAGAGGGGCAGCAAGTCCTGGTACTTTCCAGCGCTAAGGCAGGCATGGGCCCCAAGGCCGAGGCTCCCAGGAGGTACAGATGCTGTCACGGGAAGCCAGGGGCCACTGGGGGCCCGGGGAACACCTGGGACTGACACCTAGACCAAGTGCCCCCAGGCACCCTCACTCTCCCGAGGGTGAACGTTTCTCCTGCTTCAGCTTCCCAAAGTGCTGGCATGTGCCATGCTTGGCGACAAATTTTTCTTAAAAGAAATCCCCACTTGTACATATTATTCCTTTTCAACCATCATCTATAGTGTTCGTGTTCCCTCTAGTTTTAGCTTCGAGTTTTCTCCCCTACTGTTTCTTGAAAGCTTGCCTTACTTGTGAATCTGTCTAAATCTAGATTTCCTTCGCATCTGTATTGTTTTCTTTCTTTCTGAGACATGGCGTCACTACGTGGTTCAGCCTGGCCTTACGCGTCTACGGAGCCCAGGCTGGCCTTGCCGACAGCGATCCTGCTTCGGCTGCCCGGGTAGCACCGTCAAATAAAATCGCTTTCACCCCCTCTGGAGGCTTACGATTGTTACTTTCATTGTGTTGATGTTCTTTCTTTCTTTCTGATTAACTTTGTGTGAGGTTAACCTTCGGTTTCGTTTTAAATTAAATTCCCCTAAACTTGATGAAGCATGGGGCGCGGGAGGCCTCCCCTTGACCTCCCTATCCCGCCTGCGCGTTCAGCTTCTCTTCACGTCTCACCCAGTTCGCTGTTCTTCAGAGATCCGGCCCTGCAGGGGAGCAAGCTTGGCGCACGTGTCTCGGCTGCTGCGGTTCACAGGGACCCTTGGGTTTTGGGGTCCGCAGCCGCCAGGCTGCCCCTCGCCCTCGGCCACTGGAACCTGCGGCGCGTCTGCCAGCTCCAAATCTCGGCCCGTTCCTCCAGGTCGGCTGCCGTCTCCTCCCTGCTTCACGTGAACACTGCCTCCTTTTGTCCCTGGGCTCATTTTTAACCCTTGTATTTTGGGACTGACATTATGTCACCAAAACTTGAAACTGCGATCTGTCAGCTTGATTTTGCTAACTGCTGCTCCGCTGGAATTTGGAGACTAAGGACCGGCACTGCTCTGTCTCCCCTCCCCACGTTACTCTTGCCAGGTTTCAGAGCCCATCCGTTTCCAGCCTTAGCGGTGCCTCTGGCCTCAGTGGAACTTCAGTGTCTCCCCTTAGTGAGCCCGTCTATAGTTTTTCCTTTTGTTGGCTTCTGCCACTAGGAAAACCATTTAAAAAGTGGAGAGATCATTCATCCCTCATCCACTGGTTTCCTCGTTCACGCTGTTAACCCTTGTGGATTTATGGCACATTTTGTTCATTTCCTGACATTTACTTGGCATTTTATTTTATTTTTGTCTTTTGTGAGATGGGGTCTCACTATGCAGTCCAGGTTGGCCTTGAGCTGACTTTGTAGCCCAGGCTGGTCTCAAACTCACAAGGATTCTCCTGCCTCAGCCTCCCCCAGGGCTGGGATTATAGGCGTGCGCCATCACACCCGGTTTACATGGCATTTTAAATAAGGAGGCAAATATTTGTGCACAATGTCTGATTCACATTCTTAATTCATCTATAGCAGTAAACATTTACAGGGAATCAAAATCTGCTTTTGTTCTTGGGCTAGGCCTTTTCCAGATTTTATATTTATTTTTAGTAATTGAAAAATTAATACACTCTGGTCCTTTCCCTTTATTCCATGTATTACAGATTCCTTCACCACCTTCTTGTCACTCTGGATCTCCACGTGGCGCCTGTCCTCTTGCCAGGCATGTTTCTTCGCACACTGTGCCCATCACAGACCCTACGGCACTTTCAAACAGAAGTCAAGGAATTTTCAGTTCACACCGAAAATACGTGAAGAAAACCTGAGGCTCTTTCAAAGTCTGAAGAACGTTAATGACATAAGAGATCATCTCTTTACATGAAAACAACTATCCTTTGTTGTCAACTCATCACCCACGCACACTCCTGGGGGACAATAGAGCACAGCAGCGTTTGTACAATGATCTTTAACCTTCTAACCACCCCTCCCATCACAGCAACTTCATTTTCAGTTCCATAGGATACACAGGGAAGGCAGCTGGAAAAAAAAATTGGGGGCGAGGGTACTAGGAATCGAACTTAGGACCTCACATGTGCCAGGCAAGAGCTGTGCCACTGAGCCAAACCTCTTGTCAGCTGGAAAGATTTAAAGCCCAGAGAAATAGTGATTTCTTACAGTACAAAAAGATTATAAAAATGTGGCCTTCTATTTACCATCCTTTTTTTTTTTCCGAGGGTCTCATTATGTAGTTCAGGCTGGCCTTGAACTTGCTTATGTAATCCAGGATGGCCTCAAATTCATGGCGTTCCTCTTGCCTCAGCCTCCCAAATGCTGGGATTACAGGCGTTCGTCACCACGTCCAGCTCCATTTACCATCTCATACTGGACATCATCACACAAATGTTTAGATTTTCATACACTCCAGGGAGTTAGCCAATTAAACACTTTTTAAAACTTCCAACAGATTGTCAAAAGACAAAATTATTCTTCTACTTAGCTTTTCATGAAAATATAAAAAGCTGAGCAAAAGAAACAATTACACAGTCAACATACAAAATGTGTTCTATCTTTAAAATGTCATCTAAGAACCAATCTTTCAGGCTGGTAATCGCCTCACTTCCACACAAGGAGTTCCAGTGGATACGATCTTCCTGCAGGCAACAGCCTCCCGGCGGCCAGGTGTGCTTACTGGAAAATCGCTCTCTGAACACGCACACACTCGGGTTTATTGAATATATCCTCTTCTGCCTCTGGAGTTAGCTGGATGTTATCTCTGACTGGAGACAGGGGCTTTTTACAAGAAGGAAGCTTTTCGGAATCTCTGCAAAATAAAAAAGTAAATTTGGTGCTTTTAGGGTACTGATTACTAGAGAAGAAAGAGTCTACTTGGAAAGAAGCAGAAATAGGTATAGGAAGTTATCCGCTTTAGGGTGAGATCTGTCTCAGTTCACTATGGTACACGCTCAGGTTCTCCTCCAAGTACTTCCCAAACATTCTGAGTTTTACTGTCTCTTTATACTTTCAAAATCACCTTTCAATAAGGTGCTAAGCCACTACTAGATACACACTAGCTAAGGCAAAAAGATGCCAGTGAAGAGATTCTAAGTCTTCTTTCATGCAAGAACTCCAGATTTTCAAGTCCCGTTTAAGGTGTTTGTAATATCAAAACTATTTGCACAGTAATACCTAGGCTTTACGTGGCTTCTCCACTGTGCTGACGTCTGTACTGACGCAGCTAAAGGAGAACTGGGGAGACCTGCCAGCAACTCTGCACGAATTAAGACAGCAGCAGGGACAGAGCCAGGGGCGGTGGGGCACACCTGTAATCCCAACCCTTGGGAGGCCGAGGCAGGAGCATCACCTCAAGTCAAGGCCAGCCTGGGTTACACAGTAAGTTCTAGGCCAGCCTGAACTACATAGTGAAAGCCTGTCTCAAAAAACTGGGAGAGAAAAAAAAAAAGGGAAGCAGCACATAAAAACGTGTGATACCACGGTCATTCAAATTTAGATACTCGGAGAAGGCGTCTCTAAAACGAACAAAGACTGCCTGTTATTTCAAATGAAATAACTAACAGTACTTGCTACCAATGATAACTTTAATGTTTTTAAGTTAAAAATTAGAATTTTGGAAAACTTGTACCTGCCATTTGATAGTTTTCCAAAGTTTGAGATTACTGATTGTGATTTTTCCTTATAAATAGGTCAATATTTAGACTGTAAATACAACTCATACATAGTATTTCAAAATCATGGATAAGGAAAAGATGCATTGAAAATGTACTACTGAGCCATATGTGGACCTGTAATCAGAGGACTCTGAAAGGCTGAGGCAGGAGGATCTCAGGTCTGAGCCCAGCCCAGGAAACTCAGTGAGAACCGCCTCCAAAAAAAAAAAAAAAAAGAAAAGAAAGACTAGGGATGTAGCCCTACTTTCAATCCTCAATACTTAAAAAAAAAAAAAAAGAAAGAAAGAAGGGCTTATTGAACTCTGGTATAATAGCGAAGAAGAAAATTAACAATTATGTAAAAGTATATCCAAAATATATACTTTCCAAATACAAATGTGAAGCCAGGCATAGTGGCGCACGCCTGTAATCCCAACACTCAGGAGGCTGAGGCAGGAGGATTGTTGCAAGTTCGAGGCCAGCCTGGAATACAAAGTGAGCTCAAGGCCAGCCTAAGCTGCACAGCGAGACCCTGTCTCAAAAAGACAAAAAACAAAATAAATACAAATGTGTGTGGGGCTATATGTCCTTCCTGTACTGTACCTTACCAAAACAGCACGTCAGAACAGGTGAAATGCAGAAGCAGACATAAAAATCCAGATGAGTTCTATGAAGACAAACAGTAAAAATTTGCAGTATAAAACAGTGCCAATCTTTTTCTTTTTTTTGTTTTGGAAAAGATAACTATTTTGTATAAAATTATATAGTATTCATATGTAATGGCTTATTATTGTTATTTTTAAAATGGAAATTATTTAAATGTCCATTTTCATTTCTAAAATGGTTGAAAGTATTGACAAATACAACTGACATAGACCTAGGTGTTTTGGGGCTTTCAATAATTCTTCAGAGTGAAATTCAGGAGGCCGAGGGAGCAGGATTGCTGTGAGCTTGCGGGCAGCCTTGGCTACATACTGAGTCCAGGCCAGCCTGAACTACACAGTGATGGGAGAAGGGAACTGGAATTACTGAAAAGAAGTTCAACCCATTTCAGAGTAAGGAATGAGGCAACTCACTTTTTAAACCCAAAATTTTTCCAGAGCTCGCTGATTTTTATTTGTAAACCCAGCTTGTTCTCGGCATTATGATGATTCTTCCTCGGGATGCTCGCTGGCTTCTTGCTCAGCCCGCTGACTCTGGCGGGAACCAGAGCTTTGATCTTGGTGGTCGAAAGAGAGTCCACAGAACTAGATTTATACAGACCAGGAACCTGAAGAATAAATGTCCATGTTAGTAATACTCTGTCAAATCAACTACCTTTCAGTTAACTTCAATATTCTTTACACCTTAGAACAGAAAAATAATTAGTAAGCAACATGTAAAAATGTATTATTTACAAATGCCTACTACAGAAATGATAATTATATTAACAGATAATACAAAAGAATAAAGACAAAGTGAGTCTCATTAACTCCCTCTTTGCAAATGCTGTTAGGCTTCCCCATCCACTAAATCTCTCTCTCTCTCTCTCTCTCTCTCTCTCTCTCTCTCTCTCTCACACACACACACACACACACACACAAAACTGGCAGCATTCTACACAGTTATTACTTCCTTTCTCTTGCTTCTACTTAATGATACATCTGGAATATTTTCCCACGTCACATGTGGAACTGAACTTTATTTTTTTTTTTGGTCTTTTTTGAGACAGAGTCTTGCTATACAGTTCAGCTGGCCTTGAGCTCACTTTGTAGCCCAGGCTGGTCTCGAACTAGCAACGATCCTCCTGCCTCAGCCTCTCGAGTGCTGGGATTACAGGCGTGCGCCACCACCCCTTGCTTTGAATTTTATTTTGACTAAGTTTCCTGTCCTTCCACTGTATAAATGTGGCATAATTTCCTTAAATCTCTACCGACATTTTTGTTTCTATTGAAGGATTGATTTTTACCTTGTAGACAGTGTGGAGCCATTTAAATTTTGCTGTTTTTTAGAGAAGAATGAAATACATAAAAAGTAGTTCTAAAACTGATTACTTTGGCTGGGGTTGTAAAAGAATGGCAAAGTTTTAAAAATTGGCTTACTGTGGGATAATTTTTAGCAGGCTTTTTGGCAATATATACCAAGGCTTTAAAACACACATGCCTTGGGACCAGTAATATCACTGTATGGAATTAAATCCTACAAATCAATCAAGAATAGGTATTCAAATATTTACTCGTAAGATCTTGGTAGCAATGCTGTTTGCAACAGCATTTTTTAGAGTAAATAAATTATATAAACCCATCTGATGGGATATTACAGTCATTATAAGTCATGATTATATAACACATGGAAACAGATCTTCACAGTGCAAGAGAAATAGGCTTCAACTTAACACCTTGAATACCTACAGTTAAGTACAAATACTCTATTAGAACGTTTGAAAGCAGAGTTTTTTTTGTAAACCAGATAGGAAATATTTCAATTTTGTTTGTACTTCTTTTTTTGTAATAAGCACGCACAAAAAGCACATACTGCTTCTAAAATTAAAATTTTTTTAAAAACATAGTTGGGTATACTGAAGGCTTCCACATCTTTTATTTTCTTTGTGGTGGTGGTGCTGGGGACTGAACCCAGGGCCTTGTATACACAAGGCAAGAATTCGAGCACTGAGCTAGCCACACCCTGAAGCCCAAGAACATTTTAATGTTTTACCTTATTCCTTAGAAGTGTCTCTTTCTTTGAAAAATGAAATGAATGTTGCTTGGAGTTCTGATTACTTTGATTATCAAGTGACTTAATATTACAACCAGATTCCTAGATTCCAGAGATCAAAAAATAAAGTAAAATTAATTTTTTTTTTAACTGTGTAATTTCTGTGACAACTAACCAATATTTAACAAAATGGAAAATAAGTAAAATGAGAACAGTGTAAATAAAATTTCAAGGAAAGAAAATATAAAAAAAATAGGCTAGAATTAATAGAAGAAAATAAATCTAATATGCAAAGGATGATATTTGCCAGTTTCACTGAAGATAGCAAGCAAGATGTTTTAGCTAGAAAAGTAAACTGCTTATATAAAGTATATTTTTGTAGGCTTTTCTGAACCATTTGCGGAGCTTGTCAAAATGCTGATTCAGAGAAGACTGGTCTCCTACTGTAATAGTTTCACCCAGTGTTGGTGATTGTTTTCATAAATTACTAGGTACAAAAAGCACAACCAGTGCAGCTCCAATGCTATTCCTTTGTGTAACAAGTTCAACGTTAAAGAGATAAAAAGCACAATAAATGAAAATTCAGAAAACTTTACATTTCTCCATTTTTCCAAGGGGATTTAAAAATTATTTAGATTTTATATAATTCTATTATTCCTTGTTCAGAGCTAACAGTGGTGGTGAACCTGGGCTAAATCATTACTTACAATAAAGATCATAAGATCCTAAGATTACTTCAACCTCCAGTGGCGTCAAAGAACTATGGCTGCCGCTTTTCACAGTGAACCAACAGAAGGTTCCAATACGGAAACGTTTTCTTCAGAAGCATATAATGAAAACTGACACTCAAAATAAAGCCTTTGGACATTTTTGCTTTCTGGAACATTTTCTAAATCAAAGATAGATTAGCATTCAATTGTTTGAGAATTAATAATCTATCCTAAAAAGAATTTACTATTAGGCTACAAGAGCAATGAGTTGATGAATGATTCATAGTTTAGTTCATATTCTGGGTGAGGCTTCACATCTCAGTGGGAGATTAGTACGAGAGACGGTTGGCCAGAAGACAAGAGTGTGCCTGTCCCTGTGCCCTGTTGGTAGGACCAGCCCAGCCTGTGGCCGGGCGAAGCTTCTCAGGAAAACGTGACCAAAAGCTTGTAAAGTAAACAAAACAGGAAGATGCACCTTGGCAAAAGACACACTTCAAGCCAACACACTTAAGCCATCCTCACAAATAGATGTTATTATGAATGGCATTCAAGAGACAGCAACTGTGGTACCCAGATGATGTCAAGAGGAAATGCATCATGCAGCACGGTATGAGAAGATGAAGAAGATGAAGATAATGAAGATGATGGAGGAGGACCAGGAGAAGGGGAGGAAGGGGAGGGGGAGGGGGAGGAGAAGTAAAAGGACACTAAAATGCAAAAGTATATTTAAAGAATCAGGGTCTTCTAGATCAGTAAGAACAGTATTTAATATGAACGAACTGAAGGCAAGCCAACACAAAAGGAAAAAAAAAGCAAAAATGTCAAAGGTAGCCAGAGGTTTAGCTTGAGATGTTTCTAAAAATTAGAAGATGTTACAGAAAACCTCAGGGCTTAATATATAAACCAATTTCAGCTTCCTCTAAATGAAAACAATTTACTTCCATATGGTAGCTTGGCTTTCACTTCAACCTGAATCCAATATAACTCGTTTTCTTTGAGAACTTAAATATTTTCTTTTTGATAAATATAAGCTATATACTGATTTATTAAATGGTGCTCAATATTCAGGATTGTCTGACATTAACATTTTGTCAACTATTACAGTGGTTACAAGTCTTTTCAGCTTGGTGATATTTGGTGAAGATGAAACAATGTTAAATATTAAATCTGAGATAATGTCATTATGGTATTTTAAAATGTCATTGGATCTTATGAGTAGTATTTATTTGGAGTTTTGATTTTAGTCAAATCAAACCCAGAAATAAAAAATCAAAGTTAGAATAAAAGACAGAGAAGAAAAAACTGGTTAGGATGCTAGCATTAATTTAAAACAGTAACATAAAATCATTTACATTATTATTTTTTTGTGAACTAAAGGTTAGCAGAAATAATGAAAATGCTTTTGAAGTTCTAAAACTTAAGACGGACAACAGCACATTAGTAGGGCCATTTCTTTATAAAGTCATATCTGAAGTCAAAGTTATGCAGTACTAAGGACTTAAGTAGTAAACTTATAATAATTTTTCATTTCATACACTATCATTCTGCTTAGGTGCTAACTGTGCCACAACTCAAGTTCCTATCAATGGAATACACAGGGATTCAGGAAGTATAATTAGTTTAAATGTACAGGAGTTGAACATATGACATACAGAAAAGTCCTTCAGAAGAATAAAATGTTAACTTTTTACATAGTAGGACTTAGAATAAGATGTTAAGATAGCCAGTCATTTCCATACTGCAGGCAAAATATCTGCAATTGTCTAACACCTTATTTTCTCCTACACATACACTGAACACAAAGGCGTCCTGATTTGACTTACCTCTGAATCGGAATCCTTACTAGAAGGCTGAGAAAGCTCTGATGCATTTAAACTGTGTGGTGATAGCTCTATACTGTTCTGAGACTGTGAAGGCAAATCCACTTCACGTAAGGGCTGAGATTCATCACCTGACTCATCATCACTCTTCGACTGAGACACATCACACAGCTTTCTGTCTTCAGGCAGAGAGGAGGGGGAATCACTTTTTCTTCGGAACTGCTGCAATGCTGTGCTTGGGTTTGGAGAGGTACTCGGAGAGTTTGAAAACTCTCCAAGACTTCCAGACCAACTAAAACAACTTCTTAGTGTCCCCAGAGTGGGTGGTGAAACGGTCCTTGTGAATTTGCCGGTCTTGAAAGGCTGGGGCTCTTCACCAGTAAACAGAGTCACATCATCTGCAAGGTGATCACTTGAATTATGTGCTGCATCTGTATCTACCAGCTTCCTGCCTTCTAGGTCTGGACAATCTGAATCCCTGAGATCAGTCACTTTTCCTTGGACAGCTGTTTCATCTGGAGCCTGGCTGCTTGCCTTTCTCGACACACAGTCAGCAGAATCCAGGGAACTGCAGAAAAACCTAACAGAACCCAAGAAAAACGGATTATTACAAATATAGGATGTCAAGATTCAAGATGGAATTACCCCTAATCTTTAAAAAGTCTCAAAATAGATAATCTCATAAATAAAGGCAATACAGATCTTTAATTATAATCAAAGTTTAAATTCTGATTATGATAAAACGCACATAATTAGAAATTTGCTTTTACGGTGAAGTTGTAGACAAGTTCATTACATGATGTTTTCTCCCCAAACCCTTTCAGCTGCCAAACAGAAAGTAAGCTCTTTGAGGGCAGGTACTGACCATGTCTTTGTATCCTTTGTAGCAACCAACACAGCAGCTAACAGATAGTTGAATATATTAGCAGATATGGAAATATGGCACAGAAATTACCATTTTAACTATTCTCTCATATTTTACCGGAAGCAAAAGTTAGCTATTTACTCCACTGACTGATTTTTTCTGGAACAGGGTCTCCTGGTAAAGTTCAGGCTAAAGTCACTATGAAGCGCAGGCTGGCCTTGAACTCACGGTGATGCTCTTACCTCCACCTCAGTGCTAGGATCTGCTAGCATTACATGCTTGTGCCACTACGTGCAGGTGACAAATACTGAGACAGATCCAAGGAAGAGCTTTTAGATTTAAAAAGAAAACCCCAGAATACCCAAAAGGTAAACATGAAACTTAAAGAGAATTTACCTCCCTAATAAGTACTGATTCAAATCCAAGAATAATAATAGAATATTTACTAAATGCTGGGAAGTACAAAATCCTCATCACATCCCCAGATAAACCTGTGACTACATACAGGCTTGAAGAGAAACTCTTTATTAGGCTTTTTGTTCAACACAACACATAAGATCCTAAGAGCTGATTACAAACTCACCTTTAAATTCATGGTAATTTCTTTCTCTTTCTTTTTTTCTGGTACCGGAAATCAAACTCAGGACCTCGCGCTTACCAGGCAGGCACTATGCCGCTGAGCTATATCCATAGCCCCAATTCATGGTAATTTCTATGATGACCAACTGTTCTCCCATATGTTGCTTCATGGGTAAAGAGAAGTACCCAGGGTTATAAAATTAATCAGCTAGAGAACAGAATTGAAGCCTTTCATGGCTGTTCCTTCTTAATTAGCCTACGGTGCTATTTAAATGATACTGCTAGATCTCAAGGATAAACTGAAATGTTTCTAGAATAAGCATTGACATAATAAAAATAATTCAGGCTTAAAACAGGCTTAAAACAACAGATTAGAGATATTTTGCATGTTTAATATGTTGTTTCAGTTGCACTGTATTAAAAAGAGAGGGGGAGTAATGAATGCTTGCATGTATGTCACTGATTAGGCACTGTGTCGGTGCTTTATATACAGAGCATCCACTGATCTTCCCCACAGCCTATGCATATTCTTGTCCATATTTTGTAAAGAAAGGCTGGGGAAGTTGAACGGCATGTGAAAGATCACTCAGATGATAAGGTGACAATGAAAATAAATTCATGCCTGTCAGGTTGTTCCCATCAACAATAGAATTCTCTTTCCTATTCTTACCCTGGGAAAACGTAACCTTTCAGAGCATCAAACTCTGAACTTGAGATAGTGAGAATAACATCAACTCTATGCTACCTCATAGCACTTTTGTAAGGAATAAGAACATGTAAAAGCATTTTGAAAACTAATAATTGTTAGCTATTATTATGTGGTGCTACATAACCCAGGTCAAAAAATTATACATCATAAACTTACTCCCAACTACTATTATTATTTTTACTCCCAACTGTTATTTCACAGGAAGTTGACAGAGAAAATATTTCTCCAGGCATGTCTTAATGCCCACCTCAACAGTTTACTAGCAAAACATCCAAATAAGCTATATAGAGCAAGTAAGCACAACCTCAAGCTTGGAAATTTCCTTAAACTCCTTCAGTGATTAAAAAGGTAAGTGCTGTTAGTCATCTTCAAAGACTAAAACTAAGCAGCATAAAGGGGAAGCTTGAGTCTCACTCAAAAGGAACACAGAAACCAAGCTCCAAAAACGTCTCCAAATGAAAAAGGTCAACTTTCGGTATATGAACCAGTATCCATCTTTTACAACCTACTTTTTCAGAATTCCATGCTAAAGAACATCCCTATGAGGTGACTAGCAAAACAAGAATCAAATAATCATTTAAGGGAATTGGATTTTGACTTCAGAAGACTTGAGAAGGGTTTGAAACATCACCTAAGGGGAGGCTGAAGCGTTCCCAGGGGCGTATTCTCTCAGATCCGCCTCTCAATGTGCAGCCTCATTTATTGAACACGAAAAACAAAGCCCCAAAAGTATTTATTCTAAGTCTTCCAGAAGAACGGAGGTGCTGGCGAGTTTTCTTTTGTAAGTTACTATGTTTTGCCTAGTTAGTGTCTCACGTTTACATTTCCTCTTACACACTCTGGTACCTGCTGTGATTTCAATGTGTTCCCCCAATTCCTGAATTACTTTGGGAGATAATCAGGATTAGATGAGGTCATGAGGACGGGGCCCCCTTGATGGCATTAATGGCTTTATAAGAGGGGTTTGAGGTAGCGGCTGAGCTCTACCTCACCATGCGATGCCCTCTCCCATCCCATGCTGCAGCAAGGCCCACATCACACGCTGAGAGGATGCCACTCCACCTCTGGGACTTCCCTGCTTCCAGCACTGTGAGCCAAGCAAACATCTTTTCTTCATAAATGACTCAGTCTGTTGTATTCAGTTAAAGCAAAAGGACTAATGTACCACCACTCAAAGCCAACAGAACAAGAACTATCCACTGTGTGTTTATCATCTATTATCTATCAGGCACTGTCTCAGCAGTTCTCTCAAAGACCCAAGGTTGTTACAACTGTTAGCCTTTTCTTCTTTTCATTTTGTAGGCTGGGAGATAAGTGAATAGAGTAATACTTTCTATCCAGTAGTTTCCTCCAGCCCATTTCAATGTCCCAAAGTTTAATTGACAGAACAGGAAGTTGCCTGAACTGAACTCAACACTTTGGAAAGCCCCATTTTTTACAACAGGAGAGCAAAACACCCAGAAGGTAACCTGCTTAAGGCAAACATCTCATAAATGACCATGACAAGATTCAAACTCAGGGGACTGGGGATTTAGCTCAGGGGCACAGCACCTGCCTGGCAAGTGCAAGGTCGTGAGTTCGATTCCCGGTACTGGGAAAAAAAAAAAAAAAACCAAAAAAAAAAAAAAACCACCCAAACTCAGTGGGTTTAAATTCCTATCTCCAAGTTATACTAAACTCTGAATCTGCAAGTCATCATCATTTGCAGGTGTTATGACAACAGCATCGCTGATCGTTGTGCTCCACCTTTGGCCCTGTCCAACCCACTTTCACCGGGTGCTCAGAATGATCTATCCATATCAGGAACTGAACCATACGCCTCCCTTGGTTAAAACCCTTTAAATGTTTCCCAATATCTTTAAAGAAGGCTATAGGTTGTGAGTTTGGCATATGTGACCTCCATGACCTGGTCTCCTGTCTCCATCTGTCTTTCCCCAATTTGCATTTTGGAAGTAGCAAGGACAGCTGTGATCAACAGGAAGTAGCTGCCCCAGGCTCCATGCTGTCCCCCACTTCACGCCTTTGCTCAACCTGTCTGACTCCACTGAGAGGAGACTTGGCTCCAGTCTTGGTCTGCTTTGCACCATCATTCATTTAAACCTCACTAGTGACATTCAACATCATCTCTTCCCTCTCACCTTTTCCAACCACTGCCTCAGCATTAGATGCTGCCTTAGTCCCCTCAAAAATCTGTGTATATGTCTTTCTCACTATACTTACCATACTACCTGGAAAAATTGCTCATGCACCTACCTTTCCAATTGTACTGGAAGTATTCCAAGAACAAAAACTCCGTCTTTCTTATTTTTGTAACCATAGCACCCAGCATGGTATCAGGTTTTGTAATACTACAACTCTTTGGTTATCTGTATTTAAAAATACTTCTGCAAATACTCTGTAAAATTGCATAAAGCCCGCCAAGAAATGGAAAAGGCAGGAACAATAAAAAAGGGGAAGGAAAATTACAGAATTTCTCAAAGTAACAGAATTTCTGCAAAGCATAATGTGATGACAGTGGCTATGAACCTCTTTTATTTAATACTGTATACAGAGATAACAAAACTAATAGAAGCTGATGGAAACAGCAACTCCTCAATTGACAAAGGGCTTTATGTCTTGATAAACCCACCATAAACAGAACATGCTGTTAAATTTCGAAGTGCATCAAATATATCTAACCTAGCAAACACCTTGACTTAGCAACACAGTGCAGTGTAGAGGATCAGCTGTTTCCCCTCATGAGCACACACCTAACTGGGAGCTGTGTCTTGCCGCCCCTGCCCATGTCCTGAGAGAGAGAAGGGTACCACAGCTCACTAGTTCCAGAAAAGAGAGAAATTCAGAATTCAAAGTACTGAACTGAGTGTATCACTTTTACAGCATCACAGATCCAAAAACCCTAAGTCACACTATCATATGCTGGGAACTGTCTGAATATGATGCAACTGTAATTAGGCCAAAGCAGGTCCTACCCCTGCCCTCCCCTAGAGTCAGGGTTAATTCAAGATAAAATAAACATCAACGCAGTACATAATACAACAGACAAACCCACATTCTGAAGATATAACTATACCTGCTTCTGGTCCCTGGGACTACAACTGCACCACTCTCTTCTTTTTTTCTCTGTAAAAATGTTGCAAATTTATTTCTTGTCCTAGGTAGTGTGTTTAAGCTTTTTGTCTGAATAGTTCCATTTCCCAGGTCAGGCACAGACATTTCAGAAGAGTTCAATGACTTATTATTTTCACAGCCATTTTTCTTGGTCTTCTTTGTAAATGAAAGAGAATACTGATTCAACAGGTCATCTTCTGACAGCTCTTCTAAATAGAAACAAAATTACCTGTAAATTTTTGTTTCACTTAATAGTTGGAGATCTGACCTTGATTTCAAACTATATCCCACTGTCCTAAAGGTAAGATCTTACTTATTTTTAACTATGCCTCACAAAAGGAAACAAAGATAATCCAAAAATAAATCCTCTAGATGCTTTAAGATTTCACAAATTGCCAGACATGGTGGCACATGCCTGTAATTCCAGCACTTGGGAGGCTGAGGCAGGAGGATTGTTATTGCTGGAGGTCAGCCTGGGCTACAGAATGAGTTCAACGCCAGCCTGTACTATATGACAAGACTCTACTCTAAAAACAAACAAATAAGAAAATATTCACAAATTAAGATTTAATATCAATTACAGGAGCTATTTATCTGTTCCTTATATATGTTCTGGTTGCAGACTGTCATGGAATCAGAAATAATTCACATTCTAGCTGTGACCCTCACCCCAGACTACCTCTATCTTGTTAGAAGGTTGTTAGCCTAGCTTTTTAGGAGAATCCCATTAATTAAGCCTATCTTAAATTCAGCAAGAGCTCTTAGTGTTTCTCATACTATCCTAGTAGACAGTGTAAAGTAATACCTATTGTATACTAGTAATGTGGATTTGCAACAAGTTGTACAGCCTAAGAGACTACTGCCAACTGTTAGTCTCAAAAGAGGCTACTGCAGACTGTTAGTCTGTCTCATGTGCTCTAGATCGCTGTACTCACTTACTCTAATTCAATTATACACAATACAACCAAACCTATTGTAACCAAAGCTTTAAGATATAGGGTGTCATATTTATCTAATTTCCAAATGACTCATACGAGAAATACCAAGATTCAAAAAACAAATATATTGGTATTCAGCTTAACAGCAATTAGTAAAATGAGATTATAAACTCAGCAGATCTCAATAAAAAAACAAGAATACTAATACAGTAAAAGCTAAAGCAATCCTAGTTTGCAATAGTAAGGCACAATCCTAGATGAGGGAAAGTGTGCCAAAACTGTGAATATTTACTGTATCCTATGGTAAGCAGACTACAGCTTAAGAGTCATATAGACTTACTGTAAGAATTACACAATTACCAAAAAAATGGTATTATATTTAAAGTACTTCCTCAACAGATGAAGAACTTGTTAGCTGGGTGAGAAATATAGAAGGGTTAAAACTGCTGCTCCTAAGTATCTGAAAGGCTGTCAGATGCAATACAGACTAAACTTACTCCAGTAGTTTTGGTTTGTGGGTCTTTGTGTGCATACAAACACACATACCTAGGTGACAGACTACACTGCTAAGTGGTATTTATACGGAAGCAGACTTAATTTGACAAAAGAAACTTACCAGTAATGACTCATCTACATAAAATTAACTATCTTGATGGTAATGGAAGAATTAATATGTAAAGTACACTTGCTATGTACAAGGTGCTTTTACATCTTGTCTTACACAACACATAAAAAAACTTGTAAAATAGAAATATCAACCCTATTTCATATGAATAAACAAAGGTTCAGAGGAATTTTCATGAAAAAGATTCTTGTTCATAAAGAATCAGAATGTTTTGGTCAATTGTGTATAACCTGTGCCTAGTTAAAAAAATAAAAAGTACAAACTCAAATTTTACAAAAGGCCTTATTTTTGTTGCTCATGTTTCATTCATTGATGTAGTTATCTGAGGGAAGAAAATAAGACGAAGTGAGGCTATAATTATTGTACTTCTAAACAACTAAGACAAAAGGAAAAACCCACTTTGTAAAGCCTGGTGCTCCATTCTCAGTAGTTCTGTTCAATGTTTTACTGGAGGTTCTAACAATTAAGAAAAAGAAAGAAGGGACCTACTAGAAAAAGAGGTAAAGATGCCTTTACCTATAACTGCTGTGATCTACACAGCAAAGTGCAGAGTTTACAAAAGAGACACTAAAATTAATGCCATTTTATATAAAATTAATGTATAAAAATTAATTGTATTGCTAAGACTTAAACATCAGAAAACAGTACTGTTAAGATGCTAAATCTCTCCAAATTGATCTACAGACTCAATTAAAAAATCTCCATAATCTTTTTTTTTTTTTTAAAGAAACTGGTAGGCTAATTCTTCTACTTAAATGGAAATAGAAAAAACAGTTTAGCCAAAATACCTTTTCAAAAGAACTCAGCAGACTTATACTGATTTCAAGGTGTACTATAAAGCTAAAGCAGAATAATAGGGTTCAGAAAAGACTCACATACAGTCAACTGATTTCCCACAACTGTGCAAAGGCAATTAAATGGGGAGAGGAAAACGTATTAACAGTTGGGGTTGGAACAACCAAACTGCGGTATATAAGGAATCTTGATCCTTACCTCACATCATTTAAAAAAAAAAGAAAAAAAAGATTAAAATGACTACAGATCTAAATCTAACAGCTAAAACCATAAAGAGGACAAAAGTTTGACACCTTGGCAAATTCTTCAGTATGACCAAAACTTGCTGGTACCTTGCCAAAATGAAATACATACCACTTCTTGGTCTTTTCACCCCGGAGGACTTCCTTGGAAGATTTAACCCTTTAGTACCAATCACATGTTTAATGCCCACAGTACTTGGCTTTTCTCCCAGTCGTGCAACATCTGAAACAACATCCGTCTTAAATGCAGGGCAATAATTCCTACGCCAAATGCTATTAACAGAAGATGACTTCTGGCATGTTTTTTCATCCCAACTATGACTTCTTAATAGGGAAGGCTAAAAAAGTAAAAGGAAAAGGGTTACTTGTAGGAGGAAAATAATTGATTCATTTTCCCTTATATGAATCACAATATATTATATTACCCTTGAATATCTGTCCTTTAATACCTTCTACTTTGCTGGTTTTGTACTTCTCAAATAAATCTACCTTGTGTTCTTAGTTCTTAGGTCTGTTTCTTCTTTAAGAAGAGTCAGGCTACCCAGTTGGCTCATTTCTAAGAAATAAAAAATAAAGCTTCCCAAGAAGAACAGTGCAAAAATTAAGTTTGGGTTTGAAGGAATGTGGCGAGGAAAAAAGTACCTTTAAAATGTATTATTTTAATATTAATTAAAAACATCATCTGGTAATTTACCCTCAAGCAATTATTTATCTATCTTGTAATATTTACCTGACAGTTAAATTATGTACTTAAGGTAACCTCAAGTATTTCTAGAAATTGAATGAATTCAAATCAAAATATTCTAGGCTATAAAATACTGGTTTCTATTAGTACCAGGCCTGGTTCCATCTTCAGTAGACGTACATACTGACAAACAGAAAGCTATTTTGTTCTATACTGAGTTTGGTACAAAACTTTCTCAGAACACACAGAAGAAAACAGAATAGGATTCAATGACACATAGCAGGGTTGTTGAAATATTTGCTAAATTATGAATAAATAAAAATAGAGCTTGTGCTTTTAAGGGTAATATTTCTAGGTTCAGGTTTTCAACTATGTCCTATATCAAAGATGCTGAATAGGGTGAGGTGAGAAAAAAGGCATCATATGCTTGGTATATTCATATGAAATGCTCATACTGAAGGTTCCATAATATGTAACGTAGTTATTTCTTTAATGTTACCATAGCGGTGTCTGGATTGTAGTCATCAATCTGTTCAAAAGTATTTATATCTTTATTTCCAAGTGCTATTTGAAGAGCTACAGAGTGATCAATGTACCTAGGTTTGTAAGATTAAGGAAAAACACCTTTATTAACAACCAATCAAATGATGCTGTTCTAAGATAGGAAAACGCTGCCTATTTTCATAGAAACTCTTGAAGGTTTATGACTTAAATGCATCGTTACTTTCTGTATCACTGGTACTGAATCACAGGCATAGTTTACAAGTCCCTACTCATCCCTGCAGGAGTTGACCATTTTACAAAGCCCTGCATCACCACTTACTCTGTCTTTCAAGGGACAGACACGTGGAAAAAAAGTCCCGGCTATGTAACCTACGAGGCTCAGGGTCTCAGATCAGCCTGACTGCTAGTGGCCAGTGGCCACATCCTTTCACGTTGCATTCCCTTGTCCAGCCTGGTTCTCCCGCTAAGTTGAGCTTGCTTTCCCATAAGGACTTCTCCCGAATGCCGCTTCTGGCATGTGTATCATAAGTGACTGACCCAGTGCCTGCTCCTGTTGAATCAATCCAAATAATTGTATGCTATAGCAGATGAGCCTCAGGCTTACAAAAAAAACTTGTTTGAAATTTTGAGGAATTAAAATGAACAAAAAGGATACTGTCCAGCGTAGGTTAATGTTTCAGGATCAATGTCATCTTCATAGGCATTCAGGGGGACAAGTTTCCTTTTGATGGGATCAAAAACTAGTTGATAAAGAAAAGTATTGTTGGCTCGAATAAATCCTTTGATGTAATCTTCTGGCACTGTTATATTCATCTTGAGATAATGCCCAATTTTCTTGATAACCTAACAATGGATGCAAAAGTTTTTATCTGCAATTAATGAATAGAATCCCTAAAGTAGACTGACTTACATTACCAGAGCAAGAGAGGGGACTGAAATATCAATTACATTCATCTACATTAAAAATTGCAGGAACAAACATAACTGTATCATATCATTTAAGATTCTAATTCTCATAACAAGTATTTTCTTGGTTTTTCTATTATTAACCCAAAGGAACAAAAATTCAGTTACAGATCAAATTTATGTTCCTAGGCATAACTTCAAGGTATATTATTCATCCTCAAAGTTCATTTCACCTAGGAAAAAAAAAAAAGAAACATGAGAAGAAAAATACTCTTGGATATTTCTACAATGTAACTGACACTGTAACTTCTGCTGCCCATGGATTCTGAAGGTATCTTACTATATTACAGTTATGTACTACGTGATGATGCTTCTGTCAACAACAGACTGCATATCCAAATGTAGTTCCTTAAGATGGTATCACTTAAGTGACATCATAACCATCTTTGCTTGTCTAAATACATCTGATCATGTTTGCACAATGACAAAATTGCCTAAGGACACATTTTTTAGAATGTATCTTCATCATTAAGCAATGCATGACTGCTTCTTTAAATTCATAGGTGAAAGGAAGACCTACAGTGAAGATCATGGAGTCATGGGCTGTTTCTCTATTTCCAGAGAAGCCACCATCTTCCAACCCAGGGATCTTTCCATAATATCGCACCACTTGCATCCTGAGAACTCACACTTTGTACTCCTGGAAAACGGGATTTCTACTCTGCAAACCCCAAGGGTTTCAGAGAACTGTCTAAGTAAGCTTCTTAAATGAGAGTTCATTTTATATTTACTTTTTTTGTGGTGTTGGTGATGGAACTCAGGACTCAGTGTATGCAGGTAGATGTTCTTCCACTGAGCTACACTCCCAATTCCAATGTAGGTTTATTTATTAAGATAAAGGCAACAGAGAAACTACCATAGTGATGATCAGTGTCTTAGTTTCTCAGAGAATACAAAACACCTGCTATTGAATGAAAATATATGAGAATATAGCTGTCTTTCAGCCATGTTATAAGATTTGTGTTAAATATACAGTTCCTCTCTGGGCTTTTATGTTTTAAAACTATGGCTATTTTTCAGAACAGCACTAACATGTTAACATGAAAGTTTATTATGTTTAATTAATAAGTATTTAAATTTTTGTCTTAATTTCTAACTTTGTAAATACGGATAGCTACAGCCCATACAAACAAAAATTACTACTGAAGAGTTTTTAAGAGTGTGAAGACTGAGGTAGGAGAATTACAAACTTAAACCCAGCCTGGGCAACTTAGTGAGACCCTGACTCAAAAGTGCTGCAGATATAGATCAAAGCAAAGGTTCAGTGTCCAATCCCCGGTACTGGGGGTGAAAAAAAAGAATGTCAAGAGATCCCTATCCTTAGGCCAAAAAGTTTAAGAATACTACTAAAGGGCAATAGTAGGACAGAGGTCAAAAGATGGAGTTTTACCACTAATTACTGTTAATTCCACCCCAGATATTTTGCCCTTAAGTCTAGTAAAAATTGTTACTTAAATTTGTCAATTGATGAAAATATGGTTCTTCCAACATCTGTAAGTTGCTGAAAACAAACTTCTAGTGTTTTAGTTATTTGTTCAATAAAATAAGAACATTTAAAATCCATATTCTGAGTAGCTTATTACTTAAAATATGTTTCGGACATTGAATGTGGCATTTCGTAAGTCATTCTTACCTTTACAATATCTGGATTATTGGCCAGTCTCAGCACTTTGCATGCCTTTGCTAATCCAATCCCACGCAGAGATGGGAGATAGTCACAGCCGGAAAGAATACACATGTAACGGAACTTCTCTTCTGTGAATACATCCCCAAGCTGTCGGCACATTCCTAGCCGGGTCTGATCAATTTCCAGTCCATTTCCAAACTGGTCCATTTTTAAAATTACCTTCAAAAAGAGTGGAAATTATTAGTAGTTAGAAAGATCACTATGATTCATGATTATTTAACACATTGCAATAATGCTAAGAAATCCTTGTTCTCCCCTGTTAACACTGAGGTACAGGACAGATAGGTAGGCTGGGCCTGACTATTACATCTGCAAATAAATTAAACTGCAGCATAGGACACAGAGTCAAGACCCCATTGCCAACTGGCATAAACACTGGATTCAACCTCTTTTCTCCTACCTTTGTCACAAGGCTGTCATAACGATCAAGTAGTAATGTACTTTCTCTTACCTCCTTCTTTTACATTTGAAGTAATCAATATTTTCTTATTATTAAAGTAATATGTATTTATTGTGGGAACTTTGAGATACATAAAAATTCCAGAAGAAAAAGAAGTTGTCCATAATTTCTCATTTATCACTGTTATCCAGAATTGACCTTTTAATATATATCCCTCTAGTCATCTATGAATGATAGACAATATAAATAATATTGCTAATAACAAAAATTAGATCATCCTACAGTTTTATATCTTAATTATCCCTTTAATATATCATGATCAAGTTTTTCATTAAAGTTTTAGACATAATTCTAAGTAACTGAATAATATCCTCATAGTGGATATGTTAATTTACCTAATCTAATTAAAAAATATAAGGCATATGGTACCATTATTAAAAAGTAAAGAATTTACGGATTTGGAGTATAGCTCACTGGCAGAGCACCTGCTAACATGCGCAAGGCTTTGTGCTTGATTCCCAGGACACCCCTGCCCCACTAGTTTGGCTAAAACAACAAAACCTTAAAGGCTTACTCTGAAAAGGTGTCCAGATTACACAAACGTTAAGCAGCAAAACTTTTCTCTTTATTTTAAATAATTATGAACATTATAAAAATCGGAGATACTGTATTTAGATGTAAACTGGAGACAGGAAATAAAATAATTATTCCTGGAAAGGAAAAACTTCAGCTCCTCATGTATACTAACTACTTCTATCAATATAATGATATGTAGTGGTCATAGCGAAGTACCTTTTTACAGCCAAAAGCTAGGAGATCAGAGTCCTCTGTGATTATAGCTTGTACAATACCAGTTTTGTTAAGATAGGCCAGCTGCGCATCAGCTTCATAGGGAGCGACAAGGCAGTCCACCCCCAGAGCCCGGGCTGCCTGGAAGAGAGACCATAGTGAACGTCCAGCATGGCACCGGGAAAGCTCTAAGCAACTTCCGGCTCAGACCTATTTTATTACTAGCCTCAACTTACATTTGCTAATATTACTTACAGAAATCAATTTTTTTGAAGTAGTTTTTCAAGTGTCAGTTCTAGGATATTTTACACTATGTGTATAGTCACTAAGAAATTTTAAAACATCAGTGTATAAGTTTGCGTAAGAGAAATATTGCTATATATACGCAGAGGGTGGGGAAAAGCCTACAAAGATATAAAACTATTTCAAATTAGAATTCCATTTTAAGAACGATTATGTTCCAAAAGTATATAAACTGTACTTATTTACAGTTTTGCATATAATTTCCCCATTTAAAAAAACATGTCCTGTTAAGTTACAAAAGTCTATCTATATTGTATTGATAAAATTCTAGACTCTACTCACCATATTTAAATGAATCCACTAAGAAAAGTACTTTAAAATAATTGCCAAAAATAACAATTCCCCACCACAGGTATCGTACACAAACTTCCTTGTTCCAAATCATAGGTCATAGCTTCCAAGGCCCGAGAAGTTTGGGGAAGTTAAGAAATAGGGAAAGAGGCATCAAGATCCACTGCACCATGTGCAGTTTGCTATTTTTCTTTCTTTTTCTTGTCTAGCAAGTGTCCTATGCTCAATTTTTGGTACCAGTATTTGTGCCCAATCATGGTTTCTTATCTACTACCCAAGACGGAACTCTCTCTTCCTGTGGCTATAGAGTACACACGTTCTATACATACACTCTCAGGTTAAGTGCTGAAGACTACCAGAAGGTGGGGTGAGGATGAACACTCCAGGAATCTATCCTTCCATCTCTATAGAACATGCCATGAGATCATCTAAGCACTTACTGCAAAAAGGACAGCCTCACCCTCACTTGACTGGGGGGAACGGTTGGACCCTTCTTCTCTCTGGGCACTGTTCCTTTCTCCTCTGATATCCAACCTTTACTTGTGATCAGCCCTAGAACAATTATCCTACCCTGGTTTTCTTCCCTGCCCATTAGTAAGCAACTTAGAGGGAGTTAAATGAACTTCGCCGTTTATTTGTTCTCTTAATTGATTTGCTTACTTTGATAACTTTGTGGGCCATAGCATGTGTGATATTGACACAGCGAGCAAAACATTCTCGGGCTTCTGAGACTTTCCCCTCACGAAGAAGCTGCTTTCCCTTAAGAAGATTGGACTGCCGCCTTCTGCGAGGGAAGAATATTTTTAAAATATTGACAAAATATTTACATGGTTGAGCCAAAAAATAATTTAAAAAAATGTAATTCTACCCATTTTGCTAAAATGAAAGTTTGACTTATTTGGAAGTATACATTGAGTCCTGGATAACATTAACCCGGTTCCTTTGGGATTCTATATACAAAGACAGAAAGATTTGTAACACATGCACGTGTACATGAGCACAATTACTGTCAGACTCTTCCACAGCAATGCTTTGTGTCAAAAGAAAATGCAGCAACTAAGGTTTTTATTAAAAAAGTGATAATAATCTAATACAAAATATTTAAAGAAATCTGTTCACATACTAATTTCTAAAACAAGCTTCAACAAATAAGGTTTGAAAATTTTGGTATCAATATAGAGCATCTGAACTTAGCACAAGTTAGATATTAAGTAGTCAACTTACTCTCTTCTAGACCTCTCTACTTCCTTTTTAGAAGGTAAAGTACATCCATCAAATACAAGAATAGGTTTGATGCCATGAGACAGCAGCATATTTACAAATTTCATACAAAATCCTACATACCTAAGAAAAAAATAAAGAAAAACACATTTAAGTGGTTTGCATCTCATAAGTAGTATTTGGCTCTAATACCAGATGAAACAATTTGGAAGATTTTATTTTGTTTTGTAAAACAAATGTTTCCATAGAAGACAGAAGCTTTAACTTAGACTTGGGTTGAAATCCTGCCTTGGATAATTTTGGGCCATGTGGTAAGCTACTTCTCCCTCCAAGTTTTGGTTTTCTTTGATAATCTTTTCTGGATTTGACATTTCGTTGTTCCAAATCTTATTTTTGGATGAGTCAAATTTGGATGAGTCAAAATGTTGTGCCAAATCTCATTTTTGTCTCTATTTTAAGAAAACTTTGAATATATGATATTTTTATATCTACAATATATATTATATATAAAATATATTTTTCCATATATATTATATATATGGAACAAGAACATTCTGAAACATTTCAAATCTATTGAAAAATTGAAATAATGCAATCATTTCTCCAACAATACCAAACCACACCAAGAAATTCAACAGTGCCACAATATTATCTGATACAGTCTACATTAAAATTTGTCCAGTATTCCACATAATGCTTCTTATAACCAGTGATGCTCTGGCAAATGTTTAATAACTAGTTCTAGGGGTAGGGGATTCTGTCTATGAAGCAAATATTCCACAATGGTGGATAAGCTCCTTGTTATGGTTTGTGTCTGGATGTCCCCACAAAGCCACATGCAGTCATGGGGCGGACTTCTAGAGTTTATGATTGATTCATGGTCCAATGCTGGAATTATGGATGTGAGTGCTACACCTGCCGTGGGGCAGGTAGTTTACATACAATGTAAGGGAGAGAAAGAGGGTGCTTGCCATTTTGTTCTTGTTGCTTTGCTGTTCTACCTCCATGAACTGTTGCCCTCTGCCATGTGCCACTCTGCCTTGGAGCCAGCCAAGTATGGTCTAAAACCTCCACAAGCTGTGAGCTAAATAAACCTTTCCTTCCTTAATTTTGGGCATCAGGTATTTTGTCTCAGCAATGACAGAAAAGTAACTAAGACACTCCTGGGGGTGGAGTCAAAACACACTGAGCTGGGACGAGGTGACATGTGGTGAGCTAGGATGAGCTGGCTCTAGCAAACCATTGCTACTTAGCTTTTCCAAACCCAGGATCCAATCAAGGATCATGTATTGCATTTAGTTTTTTATTCTGAGAAGTCAATTAACAAAAGCAACTGAATTTTCATAAAGAAAAAAGACATCTTAGGTCAAAGATAGGAATAGAAAAACAGAATCTTAATAGATAATTTTCTAAATCAAATGTACTCATCTTAATTAAAGAATCACTACACTACCCTCTTTGTCTATTTGTTGTAGATCACTGACAATGGACCTGCTTTGGTACGTAACAACGACTGGGACCTGCTGATTAAGAAATCTCAAGCAAAAATTAGAAGAAAGTAAATATGAAACTACAATTTTGAAGAACTTTTCTTCTTAACTAGAGAATACAAGCATATCCAGTGCCCTCATTTTATATATTTCACAAACATCTTTCCAAGTTAGCACACATAGATCTACCTCAATTTTTATGATGGTCATAAAAGATTATTATAAGCTTATCCAAACTTTCTGAGGTGGTTAACTTTTCTGACTAATAGCTCTACTCAAAGGGGGAGAAGAAAAGGAAAATCCATTATATGAAACATGAATTCTTAACTGCTAGAGGAAAATTAAAATACATAGCAAATAGTTTCTTGAAAGTCCTAAAACATGTTATTTCAGTTAACATTTGCCATACACTTACAACAGAATTTCATCTTTCACTTTTCTAATAAAAGATACTGCCTGTTTTGAACAACTCTTCCAATTAATAAAAAATCAAAGTCAAATATAAAAATTTGAAGGTTCTCTCCCTGATGAACTATTCATAGAAACACTGAAAACAGCAATAAAAAACTTAGCCTTAGGGATGCAACAATTTCAACTGTTTATATTGCTGATGGAAAAGTAAGTGCTTTCAAAAAATTATCTCTGGGATAGTGAATATAGCTAACTGGTAGAGCAGGTACTTCACATGCAAAACTGGTTTAATTCCAGAGTTCTGCAAGTATGTGCAAGTGCACGCTGCTTTAGTTCTCACCTGTACTATCTGATAGGCCTGAAAGTCCCACACAATTATCATTTAGTACCTATTCCCATTTTTTCTAGGAAACAAACAAGGTTAACACCATTTATCCACTATGCATTATGCTTAAATAAGTGATGTTAAGATCTGTGAGCTTTTCCTCCAGGAGATAAATTATATATTGCAAACAAACAAATAACAAAAACAAGGATAAAAACCAACATTGGCCAAATCCTTTCCTGTGTAGAAATTATACTTGCTTGGTTTTCTAGTGTTTCTATTTGAGAAATAGAACAACACATCAGCCTACTGAACCTGCCTCCAGTGAGGTCAGAGTTGGGACTGGAGGTCAACATGGCCACCACTTACGGCTACAAATGAAATAAAAGGAAGTAAGAATATCCTGTCCCTTTGTTTCATTTTGCTAACAGAGATAGTAGTATGTTTTCTGTAGCCAAGAATATAAAAGCAGTAAGTCATCCCTGATTGGCAATATTTTAAAACACACATTCTTATTTCTTAATAAATTCTGACGTTGAGTGAAAACAATCTTTTGGGAAAAAAACCTCTTAAGTCTCATTCTTAATTCTAAAAGAATTAATATCACACCCAGACTTACTTATCAGTAGGTTCACCTTTGGCTAGTTTTTCAGCACAAGCAATAGCTCCTTTGTGAAGCCAACAGTAGGTATCCACAGCTACTACCTGCCCTTTATACTTCCTCACATGGATGGGTTCAGCAGCTTCTTTGATAAATTGTAGCAATCCTTGTATCCCCATTGTGCCAAATTAACTACCTAGTGTGAGGGTAAAAACAGCAATATTTAAAGCAAAAAATATTTACCAAAAAGCTTTAGAAAAATAAAGAGAGCTTGTAACCCAAAACAATCTGTTACTATTAGCTAATAAATGAACTTCTCCTTGCCAATTTCCACAGCCTAGGATTTACATTAATCGTTAACATACTACCTCTGTTGCTTAATGTTTACTCTTTCTGAAGTGTTTTTACATTTAGGAGAATTATGATGTGCTTTCCAAATTCTTAACAGTTCCAGGCACATAGAAGGCACTCAAACATGAAGAAGGTCCTCCTCTCTTCCAAAACCCACTGTCAAAGTCAGCCCTGTTGGCAGTCTCTAATCCCAGCTGCTCAAGAAGGTCAGGCAAGAGGTTGGCAAGTTCCAGACAAGCCTAAACAATTTAGCAAGGTTTTATCTTAAAAAATAAAAAGGGCTGCAGACAGCTTAGTGGCAGATTGCCCCTGGGTTTAATACCCGGTACCACACATACACCCAAAAGCATTGTGAAAGTCTACAAAACTGTGCATGCTACTTACAAATGTAAGTGCCTACATGCAAAGTCACATACTAGAAACTTGAAAGTTTGTAGGAAGGTAGGCATTTCAATTGAAAGATAAAAGCCACTCCTGAGAAATGCGAAACTATTTTTGCTGCACACATACAGCTTGACGACAAATGCTTTAACTGTCCACTCTCCTTCATCCAAGTTGTAGCCCTAAAGCCCTTTCTACAAAAAAATACGGGAGCTAAAACTACTACTACACTCAAATCCCCACTCCTGATAAAAAAATAAGACAGCACTGGGGACTGGGTAGTGGCTTGACATTTAATAATACGAGGCTCCCACTACACATCAAATTTGGAAGGAATGAAAAGAAAGAATTCGGGATCTGAAGTCTGCCTTACCCTGCTGACACAGTATTAGAGTTCTGATGTTCTGGTCCAGCGGTCTGCAGACTTTCCACTGCACCCCAGTGACTATGAGTCACTAGTTCTGGGGTGTCTCAGGCAATTTGGATGCAGTGGTCTTCAAGCCACACTTTGAGAAAAACAATCTACTATCACGCTAAGGAAAACAGACGTAATAGACATTTCCTGAAACTCAGGCACGTGTCTTCTAGGCCAGGTAAATGTCCTCGAGTAAGCATCTCCTCTCTGACACGGCAAGAATGGCTGTGTACCACGTGGCACATATCAACTCAGGAGGTCACAGGGCACTCGAGGAACGAGAACTGCAGCTATGTCCCGCGTCACTTTGGTCCCGGGGGATGCGCAGGCGCAGCTGCAAGCTCATTCCACACGCTTCTTTCCTTTGGCCTGTAGGTGAAGGAAAAGATTTCCTTGTCATCATTTGAAAATGGGGGCGACTGCGCGTGAGAACTGTACTGCCAGCTTCTGCAGAAACGTGAGAAGCGGGACAACCCCGTGCCCGCTCCGGCCGCGAACCGTCCGCAGGAGGCGCTCACCGGTCTAAGCCCTGGCCGGGTCACTCGCTCCCATCAGACTGAAGGCTGCGTGCAGGGTCGGGGAGACCTTGCCAGGTGCCCCCTTTGCTGCCCGGAGAGCCTGGGGTCCCCGGCGGAGAGACGTGAGCGGCGCTGGGTTCGACCCCGCGGGGACCCGCCCTTTAGCTTCCGCACAGTCCGCTCCCCTCACATTCCCGGCCCGCTAGCCGGCAGCCGGAAGGGGACTCCGGTACCCGCCCGCGACACCCCCCACTCACTTGGGTCAGAGCAAATGAGGCCCGCGGCGAGCACAGGCCCGACAGCAGCTCCACGCAAAAGGACGCACCTTTCAATTTGCGCGGGATAGCTGAGACCCCGCCCAGCGGAAGTGACGTCAGCGCGCCGCTACGCTGCGGCGGCATCGCCTCCAGAGGTCTTCCGCTCAGCCGGAACGAAGCAGCAACGCTTTGCTTCGCAGAACTGCGTTGCACACACTGCCCTGCCTGCCGACGCTTCCTGGTCCAACCGGCTTGGCCCTCTGAAAGCGAGGGCAGCTCTGGCGCTGCGCGTCAAAGGTCCCTGCACCCGGGATCAAGAGCACCTGGGTCCCGGAAGTAGGGCGTTTTCTCTCTCTCCCCGTGGCTGCTGGGAGCCGTAGTTCTGGCCTGAGCGCAGCGTCAGTTCCCGGTGGTTGCAAAGAGCGCCGCCTAGTGTTTGCGATTTTTGATTTTTGAGAGGAGAAAGGCGAGGTCGCGGGGGCAAGCTGTGGAAATTAGTGCCTTAGTCCCTGGCCCATTCCTCATTGCCTCTAGAGCATCCCATCGGGGCTGGGGGTTTAGCTCAGCGGCACAGCGCCTGCCTGGCAAGCGCAAGGTCGTGAGTTTGATTCCTGGTACCGGGAAAAAACAAAACAAGACAAAAAAAATCATTCATTCTAAAATGTCCTGTCGTCCCCACAAGTTGAAGTTGAGTTCAGTTTAAGCTGAGCTCTTTTCTCTGTTGTAGTAATGCTTCATCCACTTTTTATGGAAGTTGAGGAAATTTTTACCTTTATAAATTATAGTGGGCCGTGGGACACAGAGTTTAAAGACATTTTGCATTTTAGGGACCTCTTGGGGCTGGACTTGCAGTCCCCATATTAACCCCAGGCCTGGTAAGTGTGTTCGCTTTTTTTGGAATACTGTGTTGAAAAAATGGGGCTGGGGGGGGCCCTTAGACTAGACTATAAAGTATCTTTTGTGTCCAAGGGTAACAGAGTGGTAATTCAGACCTGATTCATTCAGTTGAAGAGGAAGAAGCACAGATTTTAAAATGCCTCCTTGTTTGTTGTCAGTGTGCTACGGTTCTTTTGTTCAATTCAGATAGAAGTGCTGAATATGCGAAGTGCAGCTGCCTTAACCTTAACATCTCTGAGCTTTGAGTATCAGTGGATCTCAGCTCTTAGAGACCCTCTCAGCCGCTCTCGTGGCAGCTGGAGGGAGCAGCTACTGGCGACTTCTAGAACTCTTGGTGCAACTGGAGTCACAGGTCTGGCTGCTGAATGCTCTGTTATCAGCCCTGGCTGCTGGCTGCTATGGGTGTCTGCATCGTTTAGTGTTTCTAGCTAAGTAAAACTAGCTCAGCTTTTTGTACTTGAGCTAGATAGCAGAAATAGCCAAAGTAAAGCCGTTCAAAGAAGCCTTACTGGCCTAACAGAGATACTGTAACAGAAGGGGAAGTAGTCCATAACTGATTCCAGTGGACTGTGGGGAAGACGTTACAGAGACCAGAAAAGTGGGCTCACTTTTGTCCAGTGTCCTTCCAGCTCTCTGTGGACTTTCTTCAGAGTCATGGGTAGGGGAGGGGCTCCGCACAGACCAGAGTGGGGATGTCTGTCTTCAGAGCGGGGTTATCCAGAGCAGCTGTGGGACGGAGGCATTTGGAATGGAAAAGTCTCCCAGAGCAGTTGTGGGGCATCTGATGTAGCTGCTGCTGGCGAGGAAGTGTTTGGGGGCCTCAGTGGCTGTCAAAGATGAAAGAATAAAAAGTACCTCTTGAACACTGAGTCATCCTCTGTTTTATTTTGACCATCTTCTACACGTTTCTCACATACTTCTTTTAAATCTTTTCATGATCTGCAAAATTAACATCCGTTATGCCAATATATTTCCTTAAAAGTTGTAGAAAAGGTGCCACTTTTGAGGAACATGTTTGGAGGAGCAGGGCTGCCTTCTCCGCACTCCTGGTCTTTAGAACTGAGACTAGAAAAGGAAAGGAAGTAAGTTATTTTCCCTCCCTCTTCTTGTGTCTATGGTCAGCCTTATGCTGCACTTGGAGCGTGGAGCCAGCTCTAGGGAAGGGTAGGGCTCAGTTCTACCCTGCAGGAGGTGAAAGAGAACTTAAATGAGGGCTGAATTTGTAGAGAACCTGGTCTTAAATTCACTAGTCTACCCAGCGTTGGTAATTGCTTTAATGCCTTGGGTTTACCAAAAAAAAAAAAAAAAAAAAAAAAGGCCATAAGTGGGTGTGTTATACAGAAATTCAAAAAGACACCCATTCCAGTCACACTGGATCCATCAGGAAACCAACTTAAGAGGCTTTTGCACTACAAAGAACCTATGTGTTTACCCTCTGACTCCCAGATTTCCCAAGTAGGTTCTTGGCTGCAGTGTTTGAAGATTAAAACTAAAAGTGAAAGTACAAGTTAGAAGAGATTTCACTGGAGAGAATTATTTTTACACATGAGAAAAGCATTTGAATCAATTTGTGCAGTAGTGCCTCCATGTGTTAGGTGTGGTTGTGAGTGCTAAGTGGTGTGGAGGACACTCAGAGATCACCTCTTTCTTCAAGGAACTTAGCATCTTATTCTGCACACAGATCAGGTGTTCATGAAAAACAAATCACAAACCATGATGGTGTTACTGAATTCTGAAATAAGCAGCACAGACCATAGATTCTGAGTTTAAGACTAAGTTCTGGTGTTACCAGTTCTCTGAAGTCTTCACTGAGCTGGGTGTTTGTTTGACAAGTGTCTAGGTATCCTCTGATGGTTCCTTCCTCCTGACACTTCTCAAGTTTTCACATTATTTTACTTGACTCTGTCCCCCAACATTCTGAAGACCCTTTGAGGCAGGATTGCTAGATTTAGGAAATCTGAACAAAAATGTACAGCAGTTACATTTTTAGTGTATGTCTAGTGCAATACTTAGGACATATACTAAAAAGTGAAATTCCATGTTTACCTGAAATTCAAATTTAACTGGACATTTATTTAGCATTTTTATCTGACAACCTTACTTTGAGGGCAGGGGTTATGTCTATGAATTTTCTTGTCACTGGTGTATTAGTCTGTTTTCTGTTACTATAAAGAAAAAAAAAATCTGGAGCTGGGTACTTTATAAAGAAAATAGGTATATTTAACTGACAGGTTTGGAGGCTGAAAGTGTAATCTGGAGTAGCCTCATCTATTCGGCATCTGGTGAGAGCCTCGCAGTACATGGCATCATGGTGGGAGGGCATGCAAGGAGGAGAGAGCAGTCACATGGGAGGACAAGAAGCAAGAGGGACTCAGGGGCCAGACTCAGAGACCCACTGTTTCAGGAACTAATGTGGGTTCCAAAAGAACTGCATTAATCCCTTCTGAGGGCTGTGGCTCCAATAACCTAATGCTTATGACCGCATGAGGCTTTGGGGGACATCTACATATACATTTTTTCTTTTTTTAAATTTATTGAATGACCTTTGTTCATTGTATTTAACATTTAATTATATTATGGGAAGTGATATTTATAGTGTTAATGTGAAATTTTGTTTTTCAATTTAAGTTGAAAATAAGCGAATTTAGAGAAAAACCTATAAAACCAGTAAAAGGACTGGTGTTTCTCATTAACAACAAATATGAGTAAGCAAAATTTCCAAAAAGTACTTTCTCCCATCTAAAAAGAATCCTTCAGCTGTCATCCTATTTCTCTGTTTTTCTTACAGTAAAGTACTTTGAAATAATTGTATATTTGCTATCACAAATTCTTCTGCTTCATTCATACAGATAGATAGGTAGGCAGATAGATAGACAGGTAGATAGATAGATAGATGCTAGGGATTTAATCCAGACTGTCATGCATGCTAGGTAAGTGCTCGGCTACTGAACTACATCTCCTGTGTGTGTGTGTGTGTGTGTGTGTGTGTGTATGTAAGAAATTGAGGCAGTACATACACACAGAAAGGCACACTAATCCTAAGTGAGTTGCCACAAAGAGAACATTTTACCTCCACTGTTTTCCCAGAAAACTCCTTGTCTCTCCTTTCTGATCAAACAAAGCTCTGTCCTCCTATACATGATCTGTCTTCTTACTGCACATATTAGTTTTGCTTTGTGTGTTAAATTTAAACAAATGGAATTGTGCAGTTTGTATTCTTTAGCATTTGACCTCTTTTACTCAGTATTGTCTTTGTGAGATTCACCCGTATTGTCCTCTAATTTTTCTTTTTCATTCTTTCTTATGTAGAAGGACATTACACAGATGCACTGCAGTCCATTTGTTCTACCGGAGTTCTCTGTTTCCAGATTTTGGATACTATTAGTAATGCTTCTATGAACATTACTGTGACTTCAACTCCTCATACTCTTGCCCACTCTACTTTAGCCACGCTAGCTACCTTGTTATTCCTTGAACATTCCAGGTACATTTTGAACTCAAGGCTTTTGGATACTCTATTTCTTCTTCCCAGAATGCTTTTCTACTGGAAGCACATGGCTTTGTCCTTTACTTCACTCAGCCTTTTGCTGTTAGACTCCTCCTCAGTGAGGCACTCTTCAATCATGCCACTTAAACTGCACATTCTATCCCTACCTTAGGACACCCAATTTTCTATTCTTCAGTTTATTTTTCTCTATGATACTTACCACAATTTGACACAGTATATATTTTATGTATCTTACAGTCTCCCACTCCACTACAATAAAAGCTTTATAAGAAAAGATATTTTTATCTGTCTTCTATAACAATGCCTGGCACATAGTAGATTTTCAGAAAATACTGGTTGAATGAATGAATATTGAAATTTGCTAATAGTCTGGATCTAAAATAGTAATTGACAGTATTAGGGCTTAGGTATTTGGGTAATGTAGCTATTTGCCAGGCTGTTTTATATAAATTTTAGAGAAACTGGCATAGGTATTCTTATAGGATATTGAGATATTAGTATCAATATCTATCTATCTAATAAGTGTTACTGTAGAAATTTTGAATTGTAGCACTTAGAGAGG